GGAAGTACGCAGGAGGCTCACACAGGAGCTCACAGCACAGAGCCCAGACACACTCATATCTCTGGCAGTGGAAAAAGAAACGAGTTTGGAACCACAGCTGTGGCCTCATCCAACAGCTGGGTCAAACTGGAACTTTACACCTTTCTTTCAACCACTTCCCACTGTAGCAGAGTGAACTCCTGCACCAGCCTTTTCTCTGGACAGACAGATCTTTTTTCCTTTTCTGAAAACCACATAACAGGAAAGTTAAATCTGCAGATGCACACCACTACAAGAAAGGTTGTATGCACAATTTCTTAGATCCCAAGCATCCTAACAAAAATTATTCTGCTCATTACAATAATTGGAATAACTTTGAAATGTTATACAGAACAAAAGCAGTCAGCAGCTCAGTTAAAACCCAGTCATCACAGTATAAGCTAAAAGGGAACATCACACATGGGCTCTTTGAAAGCTCTACCACTCATAATGTAAGATGTGTTGAACCCAAAACTTGGCGATTTGAGTCCAAGCCATGCAATATCAAAAAATAAGACTCCTAACTTCTTTTCAGAAGGCAAAGTTCCAACCCTGGGAATCAACAAAACACAGGCCATGTCTCCACCAGCATCTCCTCACACACAACACACTCAACACTCTCCTTAAACTCTTCACAGCTCACGTGGTCATCACAGATCTTCAAAATTAACAGGAAGACCACTCCAAAACAAGAAACCTTGCTCAGACAATGTCTCCTTACTATGGATATAATATCTGACTTCTTACCCTTTGCATGTGACAAGCAAGAGCATTTCTTACAGCGACATTTAAAAGAAACATGTCTATGAACGTCTTTCTCTTTCCAGCTGTAAGCAGGAAGGGCACCTACCGAACAGGCAGACAAATGTAACAGATCTGATCTTCCACACACTATCAGAGAGAAAGAACCAACTTCAGATCATCAAAGAGCAAGGCAAGAAATAAATACCTGCAGAAAGGAAGAGATCATGACGTGCTATTCCCGATTATGTAACTATGAGTAAGCAATATTTCAGGTGTTTAGCAAGCAGTGAATACACAACTTGTTTTTCCCAAAGCTCCCACATGACCTTTGTCATACATCCATAATTAAGCTGTGCAGTTACACAATTATGACAGCATGAAAACACAAACAAAGAACTTCCCAGGGTTGGCATACCATGTCTTCCAGCCAAACAGTTTGGGAAGGAAAAGTTTATGTTGCATGATACTAAAGGTGGGTAAAGAACAAGAGAACAAGAAAATCGTTCCCTTGTGTCCTTCAACAGACTCTCACACACAGCTCCCAGGACTCAAAAGCCTAAACTTTCTCAACATCCAGGGTGCTCATTGACCCATCTAATTTATATGGCATATAACGCCCAGTTTCCCAGACCCTTTCCCTTCACATCAATGTCACACAGGTATCTTTATATATATGTATACAGGAAGAAGCATTTGTCTGCTCGCTGGTCTTCTGTGAAGAAACCTCGAAGTTCCAAAAGGAAAAGAGGAGCAGTGCTCCAGTGAATGTATGCAGACCTGCACAGTGGGTCAGTGAATGTCTGCATAGGGGCAATCACCCTCTCCTTACATCTCCCTATGCACCTTGAGTCTCTCCGCTCGCACTCACACAAAGCTCTTACCATGATGTGTATTTTATAGCCAAGGCACATCTAGCACCATTTCACATGGCTCAACCTTAAAAGACAGGAAAGCAGCAAAAGATTTCCTCCTGCCATTTCCTCCTGACATTTCCTTCTCCACAAGTAGCCACCCACAACTCTTTTTAAACCATCAGAACTGTCAAGATGATCCTTCATCTTCATAACAGGTCGACAGATATCATTAAGGCATCAGTTGCAGCCCGGCTCATTCCCCTACACAGAATGCAAAGACATTTCCTACTGACACCATTATATGTCACAGAGATGCATAAATGCAAACGATGACAAGGAAAGTTACATACGGTAAAGTTAATATTGCTGCACCCAAATCAAATGCATGTGGCACTGGGAAGACACCTGAACCTGTAAAGAACACAAACTACAACTTGCTAATAAGGAAACACATCTGTACAAAAGACCTAGGACGGCAAGGAACACGGGTGTTACACATGTCAGGGCACAGAAATACTTAGGAGCATGATGAAACCACAAAGCCTCGCTCGAACTTCCAGCCACCATCAGCCTCACTACACCTGCCTCACCAACAACCTGGGAGACTGAGTAAGGGCCACAGGTCCGACTCCTACCATTGCACAGAGTGTCAATGCACGAACCTCTTCCAACTTTGTCAGCAAACTTCACTACACGATCTCTTCGCAGAGACAAACTGGCCAGAGGAACTCACCGGGGGAGGAGCGGCGGGATCTACGGGCCGGTCGCCGGCAGGTTCCTCGTCGCCGAGCAGCGGCGCGGGCTCGTCGGGCGGCGGGCGGGCCGGCAGGGTGTCGCAGCAGCTGGCGGCCGAGAAGCGCAGGTGGCTCTTGCGCGAGTCGGCCGTGAGAGACACGTCGTGCGAGTAGGAGTGCAGGAAGGCGCGGACGCCGTCGATGCCCACGAAGTGCGTGGCAGGCACGCCGCGCAAGGCGGCGCCGGCCGTGGCCAGCAGCTGCTGCTGCTGCTGCTGCGAGCGGCGCCAGCGCCTCAGGCGCAGCGCCAGCAGCAGCAGCAGGAAGGCGAGGAAGAGGCAGGAGACGGCGGCCACGGCCAGCACGAGCCAGCGCGTCAGGCTGGCGGCCGGCTCGGCCGGCGCCGCCTCTGCGTGCGCCGCGCTGCCCAGCTCGGCCAGCAGCTCGGCCACGCTGTCGGCCAGCACCAGGCTGAGCGTGGCCGTGGCCGACAGCGCCGGCCGGCCGTGGTCCTTGACCAGCACCAGCAGGCTGTGGCGCGCCGCGTCGCGGGCCAGCGGCGAGCGCGCCGTGCGCACCTCGCCGCTGTGCAGCCCCACGCGGAACAGCCCCGGCTCCGTGGCCTTGGCCAGCTCGTACGACAGCCACGCGTTCTGCCCCGCGTCCGCGTCCACCGCCACCACCTTGGCCACCAGCGCGCCGGGCTCGCCCGAGCGCGGCGCCAGCTCCACGCCCGCCCAGCCCGAGCCCGCCCCCGCCCCCAAGCCTGCGCCCGGCCCCGCCGCCGGCGGGTACAGCACCTGCGGCGCGTTGTCGTTCTCGTCCACGATCAGCAGCCGCACCGACACGTTGCTGCTCAGCGCCGGCGAGCCGCCGTCCTCCGCCCGCACCCACAGCCCCACCTCGCGCACCTGCTCGTAGTCGAACGAGCGCAGCGCGTACAGCGCGCCCGTCTCCGCCTGCACCGACACGTACGACGACAGCGGCGCGCCCCGCACCCGCCCCTCCGCCAGCCGGTACCGCACGCGCGCGTTCCCACCCCAGTCGGCGTCCGTCGCCCGCACCACCAGCACCAGCGCGCCCGCCGCGTTGTTCTCCCGCAGCCGCGCGCTGTAGCGCTCCTGCGCGAACACCGGCGCGTTGTCGTTCACGTCCAGCACCCGCAGCGCCAGCACCGTGCTGCTCTGCAGCGCCGGCCACCCGCCGTCGGCCGCCCGCACCGTCACGTTGTACTCCGACTGCTGCTCGCGGTCCAGCTCTCTCGCTGTCACCACGCGGTAGTAGTCCTCGAGGGACTTCTCCAGCCGGAATGGGACACTCCCGTCAAGGGAACAGCGCACCTCGCCGTTGGCTCCAGAGTCGAGATCCCGCACGTGTAGCAGGGCCACCACCGTCCCCGTGGGAGCGTCCTCTGAGATCTCATTTAGTGCTGACCTCACCGAAATCTCTGGCACATTATCATTTATGTCTACGACAGTGATAATAACTTTGGCCATGTCGAAAAGGTCGCCATCATCGCGAGCCTGCACCTGCAGTTCGTAGAAGTTGCCTTCCTCGAAGTCAAATCTTTGCAATAGCATGATCTCTCCAGTCTCAGCGTCTACATGGAAAATATCCGATGTCATGTCCGTCGCTTTCTTCATCGAATATTTCACATGCCCATTCAGCCCTTCGTCAGGATCACTGGCCGTGACGGTGACGAGGACGGAGCCCACGGGCACGTCCTCCGGCACACGCACCGTGTACTCCGCCTGGCTGAACACGGGCGCGTTGTCGTTCGCGTCCCGCACCGTCACGCGGATCCGCGCCGTGCCCGTCCGGGCCGGATCGCCGCCGTCGCTCGCCCTCAGCACCAGCTCGTGGATCGCCGCCTCCTCCCGGTCCAGCGCCTTCGCCAACACCAGCTCAGGACGCTGATCCCCGTCGGGACCCGTTTGCACGGCCAGCGAGAAGTGCTCGTCGCCACTCAGCTCGTAGCTCTGCAGGGAATTCTGTCCCGAGTCCGGGTCATGAGCCTCCGCCAGGGGAAACCGCGATCCCGGCACTGTCGTCTCGCTTATCCTCTCCTCCACTTCAATTTCTTTGAAGCTGGGGACGTTGTCGTTAATGTCCGTGATTTCTACTTCAATACCATATACTTGCATTTCCCCCTCCACTATCAGCTCACAGCGCAGCACGCATTTCTCCACCAGCCGGCATAGCTGCTCTCTGTCGATCCTCTCGGCCGTCACTAAATGTCCCGTCTTCCCGTGCAGAGCAAAATACTGCGTCCTACCTTCAGAGACAACGCGGACGCCGCGGTCTGGGAGCGCCGGCAGCTGAAGCCCTAGGTCCTTGGCCACATCGCCCACGAACGAGCCCTTGGGCATCTCCTCGGGCACCGAGTAGCGCAGCTGCCCCCACGCCGCCTCCCAGGCCGCCAGCAGGACGCCCCAGAGCAGGACTCGCTGCCGCCGGCCCCAGCGCCTCCCCGCCGAGCACATCTCTGCCGCCGCCGCCGCACCGCCGGCACCACAACACTGCCGACTGATCCTCGCCGCCGATCCCGCTCACACTCCGCCTTAAACCTGTCGCTCCCGGCCGCTGCCGCTGGCCCCTCCGCCTCGCTATATCGCGGCTCCGCACCGCCGGGATGTTCGGAAACAGACCATTATCGGAGCCAAGAATACAGCGATCCAGCGATCGAGCCGGTCCGCAGCGGGCGGGGCTGCAGCGCTCCGACCTTCCTCTCGCTCCTCTCGGTCAACAGCGGCGCCCGCAGCCTCCTCCCGGCACTGCAGGCACCGAGCGCTGCCGAGAGATGCCCGCCCTGCCTCGCCAACAGGACGCTCAAAGAGACGGCACATTTGCCGCGGAAATGTCGGGTCCAGCACAGTGGAGACCTGGCGTTATGTTCTTTCTACAGCACGGGAAAATATTCATGTGATTGTGATAATCTCTACATACAAAGTTCTCTTAATATGGCGTGCAGAGTATTACGAACTGACCACTCTGTGGTAGGAAAGCACAGTATTTTCCCTGCAACTGCAGAGCTTTTTGTATGAATCGTGGTTTAGTTTTTTTTCACCAGGTGTCATACTCGAACGCCTGCAGCCAAGGTAGATTCCCAGACCCAGATGAAGTGCTCACAACAGCGATGAAGATCCCTCCTCAAAAGCCATTCTAGAGACTGGCTTTCCGTCTTTCCCTGGCTTTCCCTATATTCCTATTTTTCACCTGAACATCCGAGGCTGCTCTGAATCAGCCTACTTTTCTTCCCTCCTCCAACCACTGCTTCCGTAGTTTTGATTACAGCCTTACACAACAGGCCATGCTTATAAAACTTAGTGCTCCTTTCCTGAACACAGCCTTAGTGAGAAACACTGTAACTAAGGAATATATAATTTACTGATGAAAAAATATTAAAATATTAATAAGAGAGGCGAAAACAAACAGATCAAGCAATGAACAAAATAAAATATCCAACGCGAATTTCTTTCTTAAAGCTTATTCAGTGTCACTGCAGAAAAGTCAATTGAGGACTGGCAAACAAAAGGGAACTGCCACACATGATGAAATTCTTAATGATAAATAACCACAGAAAGAGAACAAATAAAATTCCGATAAAAAGAGACTGATCGGAGATGATAAAATGATCTCTTTATTGCTACCATTTCTGCTGCTCCCTTAAACTAAAAGATGGGAGGGCACAAGGTGGAAGACATATTCGATAGGAAAGAATATTCGTCCTTCGTCTAGTCATGTTTCCTTAAAACAACGAAACAATCTAAAAGAAAAAAATCTTTAGCCAACAAAAAGGTCGCAGTGCATCTACTCGGCAAACAAAGATCAGGAAGGAAAAATCTCATCACCGAGAGACAATCATGTTCCAAACTCCGCCATGTAGAATTAGAAAAATCTCTTTCTAAACTGAAGTATGCACCTTCACCGTTAGTAATCCATGCTATTTCACACAATACAAGCGTTGGAGAAAAACCTGAACAAACCTGAACAAAGAGGCGCCATTGCCACACTACTGCTCTGAGAAGAAATTGAAGGAAAGCAAAACTTATAAGCAAACAAGTCCTCTATATTTTTATGCAGCGTAAGTTGAACGACAGTCACCTCCAAACTGAACTGACATCTGTGACAACTCAGGAGGTAGGAAGTGCCGTTTCGCAACGCCGGCTGCTTAAAACGGGGTAGAGTTACTACCCGCTTCTATGGAAACAACCACAGGCGTTAAGAACAAAACAACAGAAACAAATTCCAGGAGAGAAAGGTCGCCAGCACGATGTTAGGAAAAGCTCAGAGAGAAGAATATTAACCTTTACTATTTCATACAACACAAGGTTTGCAGAAGAACCTGAGCATATGAACAAAGAGGTGCTGTCGCTACGTTACTGCTCTATGTCACTGCCTAAAATGCAGCAGTTATTACTTGCGCCTATGGAAACAGCGACCGGAACTAGCTGGACCAGAACAGCCACAAATCCTAAGAGCTCACGGCCACCTGCACACCCTTCCGAAAAGTTGAGAAAGGAAGGAGTGAATGTGTTTACAGACCTGCTGTGCGTCAGGGTCGGCGGGCGGCTCTCCCGCGACGGCGCTGCTGCTCGGGCTCGGCTTCCCGCAGGGCTCCCCGGCCAGAAGCTCCTCGGCGGGCAGGATGGGCAGCGGCGGCGGCGGCCAAGCGGCCTCGGCGGCGGCGCGGGCCGGCGCGGCCACGCACAGGTTGTAGGAGTAGGGCAAGGTGCCCTCGCAGAAGTCGGGCGGGAAGGCGGCGCCAGCCAGCGAGAAGCGCTGCGCGCCCAGGCAGCGCAGCACGGCGGGCGGCCCGGCCCGGCGCAGCCGCGCCAGCACGGCCAGCGCCACGCTGAGCACGAAGAGCGCCGACAGCAGCGCCAGCGCCAGCACCAGGTAGAACTGCAGCTCGGCCGGCGCGTCGGCGCCCGCCGGCCGCTCGCTCAGCTCCGGCAGCGCCTCCTGCAAGCTGTCGGCCAGCACCACGTGCAGCGTGGCCGTGGCCGACAGCGCCGGCTGCCCGTGGTCCTTCACCACGGCCACCAGCCGCTGCTTGGCCGCGTCCCGCTCCGACACGGCCCGCGCCGTGCGCACCTCGCCGCTCTGCAGCCCCACGCGGAACAGCGCCGGCTCCGACGCCTGCACCAGCTCGTACGACAGCCACGCGTTGCGCCCCGCGTCCGCGTCCACCGCCACCACCTTGCCCACCAGGTAGCCGGCCTCGGCCGACCGCGGCACCACCTCGAAAGCCGCCGCCACCGAAGAAGCCCCTCCCGCCGCCGGCGGCGGGTAGAGCACCCGCGGCGCGTTGTCGTTTTGGTCGAGCACGAAGACGCGCACCGTGGCCGTGGAGCTGCGCGCCGGCGCCCCGCCGTCCTGCGCCCGCACGGCCACCGCGAACTCGCGGCACTGCTCGTAGTCCAAGGAGCGCTGCGCGTACACCGCGCCGCTCCGCGCCTCCACCGACACGAGCGGCGCCGCGCCCGCCGCGCCCGCGCTGCCGCCCGCCAGCCAGTAGCTCACGCGCCCGTTGGCGCCCGCGTCCGCGTCCCGCGCGCTCACGCGCAGCACCAGCGCGCCCGCCACGTTGTTCTCCCGCACGTAGGCGCTGTACGCCGCCTCCTCGAACACCGGCGCGTTGTCGTTCACGTCCGACACCTCCAGCACCAGCTCCGCCGTGCTCGATAGCGCCGGCCTGCCCCGGTCCCGGGCCACCACCGTCACGCGCTGCTCGGACGCCTGCTCGCGGTCCAGCGCGCTCGCCGTCACCACCTTGTACGAGCCGCCCGACGACGCCACGATCGACAGCGGCGCCTCTCCCGACAGCTCGCACGACACCTCACCATTCTCGCCGGAGTCCCGATCCCGAATTTTCAGGAGGGCCACCACGGTGCCAGCCGGTGCGTCCTCGGGCACCGGGCTCGACAGTGACAGGATCTCGATCTCGGGTGCGTTATCATTCACGTCCAGTATCTCCACGTCGACCTTGCAGTGGGCCACCAGACCACCACCGTCCCTTGCCTCCACGTCCAGGTTGAATGTCCTCATGTCCTCGAAATCCAGAGCCTCCCGCAGCGTGATCGACCCACTATCTGCATCGACCACGAATGTCCGAAGCACCTTATCCGGCATTTCCCCTAAACTGTAGGTGATGTGGGCGTTGGTGCCGGCGTCGGCATCTGAGGCTGACACTTTCAGTACCTCCGAACCCGGCAGCGTGTCCTCGCGCAGGCTTGTCTTGTAACGGTCCTGCGCAAACACGGGTGGGTTGTCATTGGCGTCCGTCACGTTGACCCGAACCTGAACAGTCCCGGACCTCGCGGGGTCTCCACCATCAACCGCTGTCAGTACCAGCTCAAAGGAGCTCTGCTCCTCCCGGTCCAGTGGTCTCTGCAGCACTAATTCCGGCTTGCTTCCGTCCTGACTTTCCTTTATGGCCAGAGAGAAGAACGGATTGCTGGTGAGCTCGTAAGTCAGCAGTGAGTTGCTTCCCGCGTCTGCATCTTTTGCCATCTCCAGAGGGAAACGAGTGTCGGGAGGGATCGATTCATCGATCTCGAGTTCAAGAGTAGCTTTCCTGAAGGTCGGGGAGTTGTCATTCACGTCCTCAATGGCCACCTCGACATGGAAAATATTTAGCGGGTTGTGCACCAGCGCCTCGAAGCTGACGGAGCAGGACGCCGACTCGCCGCACAGCTCCTCCCGGTCCAGCCTCTCCCTCACGTACAGGTTCCCGTTCTCCTCGCTCACGGTAAAGTATTGCTTCTCCGCGCTGAGCCGCAGCTTGCGCGCCGGCAGCTCGTCCGGGCTGAGCCCCAGATCCCGTGCCAGCGGCCCCACGAGCGAGCCCGTGGGCAGCTCCTCGGGGATGGCGTAGCGGAGCCGCTCCGGCGCCGCCCGGCAGCACAGGCACAGCAGCACAGCGGGCAGCAGCAGCGCTCGCCCGCCGGCCGGCCCGCCGCTCTGCCTCCGCCCGCCCGCCATTGTCGGCAGCGCCGGCTCTCGGCGCTCGGACGGCTCCTGCCGCTGCCCTGCCTCCCTCGCAGCCGCTCGAAGCAGCGAGCGCAGGGGCCGCCGCCGCCTCGGACGCCGCCGCTGCCCGCTCTGGCCGCCTCTCGCCTCTGCTGCCCGTGCCGCTGCCGCTCTGGCCGCCACTGGCCGGGCGAGCGAGCAGCCTGCGGGGGCAGGACGCTGCGGCGGCGGCGGCTGCGGCTCCAGCGCCGCTCGGCGGCGGCCAACAGCGACACCCGGAGGCGCCGCCGCAGCACTGCACCCGCCTTTGGGCCGCGCTGGGGGCTGCACCGGCTATGGGGTCTCTCCTCGATTCCAATCAGCAATCAAAGCAGGACCTGCTTAATATGCTTCTTCCTAAGTTCTTTGGAATTGAGATGCGCTGTCGGGTGGGTTTAGGTCATTATCACAGTTAATAGTGAGAATCAGCAATCAAAGCAGGACCTGCTTAATGTGCCTTTGGAACGGCAGATTATCTGTCGGGAGCTTTTAGGTCGTTATCGCAATGAATAATCAGAAGCAAATATTCATAGCAGAGAGATAAAGAAAGGAACTCAGTTACTCTTAATAAAACAAGGGCACAAATATAGGAGCACTAAACGACGTTAGAGGGAAGACTTCAAGAGCATTTGTGCATTGTGTGAAATCGCTTGAATTCTGCTGAATTCATTACCTGGGATGAATTAACCTGGGAAAAGAATCAACCTAAAGCAATTGAAGCAATCTCTATGCTAAGGGAGCACAGTAACAGTTACTCTTTCGTTTGTGATTCTTGAAACATCCTTCTTTTCATCTCTATAATTGAGGGGCTGACAATGGAAAAGAGTAAAGCCAACTGAGTCCTTCATAAATTCACACAGTGGTTTTGGTTGGAAGTGTTCTTTCAAGGTCATTGAAAGCATGCATTGCTCTAGCTGGGGTCTCACAGAAAGAGTTTAGAGGCAGTGAACCACCCCCATCAAGCTGCTGGCCATACTACTTCTTATGTAGCAGAGGATACAATTTTCTTTCTGACCATTAAGTGCCTTTTGCCAAAT